ATGTATTTACATATCTCAATAAGTTCGTTCATGCTTCCTAACTTTCTTTTCTTTATTGTTTGAATGGGTATGGCTCCTGTAAAAGGTGTGTAAAGGGGTAACACCATTAGATGCCACCTGAGTGTTGGTACTACATATCCCGTACTTGATTGTTTATTCTAAACTCGTACGCATAGCGTAAGGTAAAGACTACAAATAGATAAATAACTTAGTAAATATGTACAAAGTGAAATAACAAATATGAAAAATTATGAAACATTGAACTGCAAATCGATAAGAAATGAGGGAAACGAATAACTTACATTTGTGTGTGACGGACGAACTGCGAGTACCAACTAACTAAGTATTTGCATAGAGGGCGTATATAAAGCAGACAAAAACTCCTAAGGGACTAGGCTAACAATGAAAACACTTAGACTGAAACGAGTGAAACAAAAGCTATAGAGCACTTATATAAACAGATCTAGGAAGAAAACTTACACTAAAAAATCGTGATCGGCTCTTCAGATCTAACACTGAGTGAGTATTTAAAGTTTGAACATAAACATGTATAATATAAATATAGAGTGTTTTCACGTGACACATTTCACAGCGACCATTATGGGGTATTGAAACAATACATTTTCTATTCTCCGGGAATTGAACTCTATTTTTATGCAAATACTGTGCAGAAAGCTTTGCTAATTTTTATATTTATATGACGTTCCTGCAATTAGGCGTATATTTATATTAACTTGAATATATGAATAGTAGACCATGGCCAACGATCAAGGCTCCACTAAAAGGATTCTAAAGAAAATATTGATATGTTCTCTTGATATGCGCCTTGATATGCGCCTTTCGGATAACACTATTAAATTAAATTCTTTTAGTTTCTCTTTGTATGGTAACTGAGGGTAGATGATCTTCGTAGCACGCTGTTGGATCTGCTCAAGTTGGTCACTGAGGTGTTTTGGAAGAGATGAGTTCCACAGCGGAGATGCATATTCTAATAAAGGACGAACAAAGTAACAAAAGACAGAGCAGAGGTCTTTTGGCATAACGCCGCAGCGTTTTAGAGTTCTAACGGCGTAGAGACGTTTGCTCGCTTTTGCGCATACATAGTCAATGTGCGTTGTCCATTTTAGATCAGATGATATGTGAACCCCTAGAAGTTTTGTACTTTGAATAGACTCAAGTTCCTGATTATTGATAGTAAGTGGAGGCAAACCAGGTTGCTTTCTCATAAGTAAATAAATATATATATATACAGCCATTTGCAGAAAAATGTAGTCTTGAGTTTTTCTTCTCACACATATATTCTGCTCTACT